CCCCAAAACCCCAAAACCCCAAAACCCCAAAACCCCATGATATGGAATCATTAATGATTTTTAAGATTCAACAAATTAATCATATAATAACAATTTTGTTAGCTCCACCATCTGATATGGGAGGTATAAATCCAACATTATTTTTATTTCCACTTGGCGCAATAGATTTATTAGGGCGTGTTTTCTCAGAATTCGGTATTTCGGTATACTGCTAAAAGTTTGTTTTCTTAGCTGTAGATTTAGATGGGAGACCAATGCTTTCCCCACGCTTTTTATTCTTTTTAAAATGCTCCTAATGATATGGTTGCTGCTATTTTTTGTATGCATGAATAACCATCATTTATGTCTGCTCTCTAGGTCTGGGTTAAATTAAAAGATTTTCATTTTTAATCTCACTCATTAATTACTTGTCTTAGATTTTTGATAAACTATCTGTCGATTACTTTGTTTAAAGATCATAGGATATTCCAGCACCTAGATCTGTTTTAGATGATGATAAGTGGTTAGACCTGTTAAGCTAATCGAAACATTGAGAATTTTTCTTCAGCTTTTATTCCAGAAGCTATATTTAAAACTCAGAATCTACTCGGGGATCCGCAAGTGGTCTATTAGCTAGATATATATTATTTGTAGCTGATTTAAATTCATTCAATTTTGGGAACTAGACTGCTCTAGACTCACCAACTTGATTAATTATTCCAACTTCATTTGCCAATTGAGAGTTTTTTATACAAGGATTATTGTTGTTTATAAAGCTTTAATTCTAACTCTCAGTACCTCTACTAATATTTGAATTTCTTCTTTTCTATCTAGGATCCTCTTTAAAAATTGTTAGTGCCTCAACTGGATTTTCACTAAATGCTTAGCCAATGTTTTGCATAGCTAGCATATTCATAAGGTTCTCAGCAAATGTCTTAGGTTTAGGCATAACTTAGGGATTTTTAATTGCTGGCATTGTACTTTAAGTCCTTTACGAGTTTTGATTAGAGTTTACTTTTACTCTATTAAGTGCATTAGTCATTCTATTGTTAAACTCTTTTTAGTAGCTCGGCTTTTGAAGCTTACTCTAAAGCACATTATTCAATGGCTGAAGCTGTTGCTATTGAATGAATTATGGAGGCTGCTGCTAATTTTGGCTATTTTTCTTTTGTTTTCTAATCTTTACTATTTTTTATGTTCTATCTATAGTACCAATCATCTATTCATTTCCATTATCATCCATAATAGTACTTGTTGCCAAAATCTCATTTTCATTGTATTCATCATTCAAAATCTCAATATAATAATTATCATTTACCGTCTATGTCCTAATCCTCTCATGATTATCATCATTTTAAGATTATGCTTAGACAAGCATTTCACTTTTTCTTAAGAGTAAACTTGCAGTTGTTGGATTCGTTGATTATATTTCTGGTGCTTAGCTCTCATTATATCTAGTTAAATTTGATTAGCTAGTGAAACTCTGCCTTACATTTTGTGTTTCCTTTGTAAATGTCTTTTACTATTCATTTTGCCTTCTTTAGGATGATGAAACTGGAGTTTAAGAGAGGATCTACTTCATTTATTTTTATTGCTATATTTCCCTGTGAAAAAGTGATTCAATATAATTCTCTATATCTTTTTCAATCTTTTTCGACTTTTCAAACCTTTGATCTATCTCTTTCTTTTTCTTATTTTCCTTCTTTCGCTTGAGTTTTTTCATTTTCTTTATTTTATTTTTAACTAAACCCATCCTAAAAAGTGCTTGAATCTTTATAATAGAGTCTAACATCTTTCTTTTAAACTATATCAAGTTTTTAGCTAGATAACCCTTCAGATATTTCTGAACTTTGATAGCATTAATATTCTTCAGTTTAATTGATTAGATTTTTTAAACTTTTATTTTTGCTAGATATCTTCTAAGATTCTTTTAAACTAATTAAGATTTGTTGTTGATTTCTTAATTATAAAGCTCAGCTTGTTTTTTTATCCTCATAAAAAGATATTATCTTAATATATTTTTAATTTTAGTCATGCTTATACATTTCAGCTGATTTTTGTATTTTCCTCGATTAATAAACATTCTTATAAGACTCTATATCTTTATAGCACAATTATTAATTTTGAATCTTTTAAAGGAATTCGCCTTTTACTTACGATGGATCAAAAATTTCAATTTTTCACTTGATTATTTTATTGCAATCAGTTTAGCCACTTTCTATCTATGGTAGATGCCTTTCAAGTATTTTTAAAGAAAAATTGCTTTTTATTTTTTATTTCTAAATCGCCTCTTGTAGAATTTTTAAATTCTAACCACCATACATTTAAATGTTAGCTTCTCTTTTATTGACCTTTTTGCTTTCAACCTCCTTATATGTGCTTAAATAAGTTTTGCTCTCTTGTTTTTTAACAGTATCATATATGTTTAAAACGACTTTTATCTCCGGTAGTGAGATTAAAGCATCAATGCAACATAAGATTTGGCTTTAAATATTTTCTCTGCTATTAATTTCTTAACAAAATTTTTAGCGATTGATTGCCTCAGATATCTTTAGATATTGAGAGAAGCTTTTTATTTTTTCATTAAAAGGACCTGAGATATAGCTAAATTTCTCCTGAGATATTTTTAGATTTATATTGAGGCTTTATTTTATAACATTATTTTGCATTAATTTCTTGCTAGATAACCTCTATAGAATCTCTGGATGAGGGAAAGAGATTTGACTTTTTGATAATGTTTATCTATTTTTTTCTCAGCCCTTAAGTCTACCTTCAATCCCAAAATGTCGACTTACTGCATTCCTTTATTTATCATATTATTTGCATTTTAAGCCTAGCATTACTAAGTTACATTGTAATTTTTATACTCAGAGATACAATCAGGAACTCGTATCCATTTATACTTTATATTATGCTCTATATAAAACTAATCTTCATTAAGACAAGGTAAAATGTTTAATTAGTTTTGCTTTTTTATTAGATATTCCCTTTTTTCTTTGAAATTTGCTACCCATTCATTTTCAGCTGCATTTGATAGGATGATTTTATTCTCTAGATACTAAAGCAAATCTAAAGACATGTCATCCAGCATTTAAGTCAGGAAATCTGTCCTCTCGTTGCAAGCTGGAGATAAGTTTACTTCAATTACCCATGGATTTAGGGTTTCATCTAATATTAGATCGAAGCCATAAATCTCAAAAGTATTAGGCCTCTACTCCATTGAGTCTTAAACTCCTTTGAAAGTTTTGAATATAATATCCTAGATTAAAGGATACAAATCTTTTGACCAAGAAAAATTTTAATAAGTTTCTTTATTATTTTCTCTTAAGTATTATTCAAATTACAGATGGGACATAACAAAATCATCATAGGAACCTGCTGTTTTATTATTTTTCTGGATCGTAAAGTTTGAAAGATGCCTGTATTAATCGCTTAGATTAGTTAATGTGTATTCACTTCCACATATCTTTAAATATGACGATTCAAAAACATAAACATCTAAAGGCTCCCAAGAAGTTACCAAAGCCCATTATCTGATATCAAATTTCTTTTTATTCACTAAGTAAGGATTTTCAATGTACTTTTGAACTATTTTTGATTGCATCTTTTTCCCTTGCTAGATGATATCTTTTAATCTATCTGTACAGTAAACTCCTAATCCTCTTGCGTTATAAGATGGTTTTACAACCCATACATTATTAACACCATCTATAAGATTATACTAATCAAGTATTTTCTTCAGTTTTTCATGGATTATAATCGTTTTTATTTAATCAAATATTGGAAACTTTTGGTTGATTTCCTCAAGCCCACTTACTAAATTCTGACTATACTCTATCATCATTTATTACTCTTCCTCAGTAAATTTTCTATGATAAGTCTATTTCTTTCTATCAATCTTATTGTGCTTTAGAATGTTTTACTTCGCATATTGGATTGATAATCTCAAGACATCATTTCCTAGTAAGCTACCAGCTCCACTTAAAAGTTAATCATACTATGAGCATTTTAACTTGAAATTTTATTTAAATATCTTTGCCTAATTATAAGCTTTTTTCTCTTTATACATGGTCAGATACTTTTAGATGTTATAGGTTTTATCCAAGAAATGATTAGCAAATACCTTAATAATGCTTAAGATTGCAGTTTATTAGAAATCTGTTACAAATATATCTATCTATTTCTGATCGCTTAAATCATAGCATCTTGGGAAAAATTTACTCACTTATAGTTCATAATCATACGGACATTATTACCATAAATTTTTACATAAGCCTGCTTTAGTTGTTATTTCTCTGTTATTTGGAAAGTGGTTATACCATTAAGAGTTTCTCAGCTTGTTTTGATTGCCCTCTTTATCTGTTATATCGAATCTTATATGAAACATTGATGAATTTGTAGTATCTATCCAGCCAAGCTTCAGCATATTTCTTTTGAGATATGGCTCAACTGATATTGCTTAACAGATTATGGAATCAAATTTTGGTTTCTTTTGAATCATTGATTACTCTTGCTTAGCTTTTATTTGTTTAGGTTTTACAGTAGTGTTAATTGTTTAAGAAAATTGTTGTGTTTTTGATAACTCACCTTCTATCTTGAGTTAAGTATTATTTTATTGAGTCATTAGCATTGATTCTTAATTTTTAGTTGATTTTGGTTATTAGTTTTTATCTTAATAAGGAGTTTAATCTATAAGCTCAAGGGTTGTTTTCTCGTTTTTATCAATTGTAATATAGTCTCTTTTTATTTCACTCTATGCTCCTTTGTAATTTAGTAGGTACTATGTATCATCTAATTCCGAATGATTGATATCAGGTGTTTATCTTGAATGGGGATCTTCTCTTAGGATATTCTATAGATTTATTAATTCCTCGTTAATCACATCTCGATTTTCATCTTCTAGCTAATTTTAATCAATCTCCATGCTTTTGATATTAGAAAATTTATGGTTTATAAATGTACTGTTTTTAGCAATAGTTGGATTTGGAACTTGGATATCTAAAGCATCTTAATAATAAGTATTTTATTCAATCGAGTCTTTTAGATTTTTCCTTTGTTAACTCTGACTACTAGATTATCCATCCATTGATTTTGTATTAAAGTTATTTCTATTGCCATTTATATGTCGATCTATCACTGAATTCAATTTTCCAGTTGTATACTGCTAACTATCTCTTAGGACTCTTTACTATTAACTTAGCATCACTTGAATTGAATTAGAGGCAACTCCTTAAGTCTAAATCTTTTTTACTTGCTATCTTTAGCTTGATGCAAAAACTTATTTGATTTAATCATACCTTTTGCTTTATTTTTGCTTTTTATTGGAGGATTGCAATTTCTAATTTTAACTAATGAAATTACCGCCATGATTTGTCTGATATTAAGACTGAATTTCTCGATTTATACTACTGTCATCTCCTTCTCTTTTCCTTAATACTTAATCCTGAAGTACTTTTTGAGACCCTGACGCTCTTATTTATCTATTCTCTAGAACTATCTCATCACTCTGAATTAAAGTATTTTTCATGTCAATACAGTTCTCAAGAATTATCTCTTGATAATCTTACAGCTTATTGAACTCCTCATCATCGAACTATTGCAATTTTTCCTCATTAAGTAGTTAGTCGTCCTCTTCAGTTTTTGATTTTCCCATAATTGTAGATTCTCCACATACATCTGCTAAGTCCATATTTTTGCGCTTTTTAATCTAGGCATTGATTTGCTTCTTCATCTTTTTATTCGCTGAGGAGGCATGCAAATATATATTTATCGACTGCATATGGTGATTATTAGTCGCACTTTGCACCTATTAGCCTTTAACTTCACTAACATGGCTTTGAGGGTTAGATCCTCTGTGATTGCCATGAGAATTTTAAGTTTAAATATTAAGCTAAGAAGCCCCAGTTGAAGCAGTAACCTATTTTTCATACTCCTCTAATTATCTCTTTTTCGTATTGCTCTAACTTCTATTTTTCTAGCTTAGATCCTGCCCCTTTTGATTTTATTATTATTTCTGCTCCTAAGTTATTTATAATGCTTATTACTACTGCAGTTGCAATTACTGCTTGATAAATATAAGTTCTTCCTTGCTTAGATCATTAAGCTTTGTGTATAGGGTTATCATATCTATTTATTATTATGCTTTTTATACAAGGCCATTTTTCTTTTTGGGCGTTTTACCCATTTCACTTAGCTTATAAAACTTCTTAATTTAAAATTCTTAAATTTATATTTCCCTGAATGTTATTTATAAATTACTCATAATTAGAAAATGTATAATCAAACTAACTTATTACTAACTTATATTGAGCTTATTAATAGCTATGCTATTGCTAAAATTTGAGAAATTTTCGATCATTTCTAAGGATTCATTTTTAGAGGAACTTCTTTTTAAATATGAAAAAAATGTGGAGCATTACTAGAAATTTGAGAAGAAAGGGAAATAGGCACTTGCTGAAATGATTAGAATAATAGATGAACAAGATGGGAAAATGAGCATGGCTTTTGAATAGATCAACGAGTAATATGGTGACTTAAAGCAGGCTTGTGACAAACTCTAATAACTTTCAGAGAATTAAGACTATGTATTTTAGACTTTTACAGAATCTATGAATAAGAAGCTAGTAGACAGTGAAAATACAAATATTTTAAAGGAAGTCTATAGGTTATAGAAATATATTGGCAGTTTGCATCATGAGTTTAAGGATGATATTTAAAGCAAGATAAAGTTAGTTTACTAAACTCTCCCATAGATAGTATTTTTAGATATTGGAGATAGTGAAGAAAATTTAATGCTAATGCTAGACGTTTGGACTTACCATAATTAGATAAGTATAAGCAGTAGTTGAAGCTTCATGCTGAAAATCACGATTACTTAATTAATTAATAATGCCTCAAATTCTCGCTAATTTCATTATTCTTTTATGAGGGGTTTTGGGGTTTTGGGGTTTTGGGG